GCCTACACCGTCGCTGGCGACTCACTGGCAGTCCAGCTCCAAGTTGAGCTGTTGTTCAGCATCTTAGCTGTGGAGGGCAGTGTCACTGGCCCTCATATGTGGTATCTAAACTGGGGCCGTCTGGCATCCCAAGCCAGCTCTTAACCAACACGCCACTTGACCGGCCCCAAATTAGGAGTCTTTATTGCAGAGCCACTGATTGCGAGAGGGCTAGTGCCTCCAAAGACCTCGCAGCCCCCACAGTTAGGCAGGGTTTATAAAGGCTAACACCACAAGGCAAAAAGTCCCATTGAGGCAAATAGAAACCGTCAAGTCCAAAGTGAGAAGTCCCAAGCGTGGGAGACCAGTCCGGTGGAACGTCCCAGGGTGGTGATGCTTGTTGAAATTGCAAGTCCATAGTCCATGGACGACTTCAGATCCCAGCCTCCTTTATTAGTAAGCTGGAGTTCTAGCTAGGACAAGTGTCCAGTTAAGGCAAAGCGTTATTACAGAAGCTAAAACAGCAGGGTCATGTAAATATCCAGTTAACTTATAAGTATATGACCACCGAGAGAATATTTAAGCTATTGTTGGGTCCAGATAATCAATAAAGAGGCTGGATGTCAAATTAGAGTTCTGAAGATTTTATTAAGCTGAGCTCAGCGACCGTCTCTCCGACTCAGGAAAAATGGCCCGAGGACTCGGTGGGTAGGGTTTTTATAAGGCAGGGCTACATGCAAAGCAAATTACAGAAGGTAAAAAAAATGTGCAGTTATTTCAGCTAAAACTACATCCTGCTGTCATAACAGTGCTGTTATGTCCAGATGTCTTAACAGTACATTGTGACCGGGTTGAGTTGACCGCATAAACTGTTTCTCAGAAATATGTATATAATCAATTTTAGAAACCAAGGACTGGGTTTGAGAAACTAAAGTTAGCTGCTACAAGGCCTCCTGAAATGTTAACATAGAGGTGGGGGGAGGAAGGGGAAACTGAGGAATGTTTTTCTTTAGCTTTTCATTCCCCACTGGTCTTATGGAGATGAATCAAATCATGGATTCACGGGCAGGGTTGTTAAGGGGAGTATAGTGTTGATGAAGGACTATGAGCTTGAGAGAGCCGACCTGTCGTCGGACGTATCCGGTTAGGGAGTTGATAAGACATGGGCCGATGAGGAGCCCTAAAAATAAGAGGATGAGTGGTCCGGCAAGGGCAGAGAGTAGAGTCGTGAGCCAAGGGGACCAGTTAAAAAGGGACTGGTACTAATTTTGGTTATTGGACTGGGCAGAGTATTTGTCTTTAAGATTGTCGCGAACCAGAGCAAGGGTGTTATGGATAATTCCAGACTGGTTGGCATAGAAACAACAAGTCTCTCCCAGGGCTACACAGAGACCCCCCTGCTTTGGGAAGAGGAGGTCTAGACCACAACCGTTTTGGAGGAGAGCATGAACGGCTGCTAACATTTGAAGAAGGGGAGGCTGTTGTGGGGGTGTAGGACTAGAAAGCGATGAGATGGGAAAAGAGGTGAGGCTGGGGGATCGAGGAACGGAAGAGGTGGGTATAGGCTTGGGGGGGAGAGCTGGAGCTGGGAGGAGAAAGTCTTGGTTAGGACCAGTAGGGGTTAACGGTCTGGAAATGAAGCTCTTCTGGATGGTAATCTGAGTACCTAAATCAGGACCAGGCAGGTATAAGCGAAGGCCCCAAGTTTTTCCCTTGGACCAGAAAGGATCGCCTGGACTAGTAATGGAAATCTTAAGGGGATTACAGGTACCAATGAAACGACAGGAGGGGTTGTGAGATAGTGAAATGGAAATATGGGGATCTTCCTGTTTCCAAGAAGCTGTCGTCTCACAGCCCCAGGCAGCGCAGTTATATTCGCCAGGGGATATGCAATGGGGAGGTGACGAAGCAGGACAGGCATAGAATTGAGTCCCTTCGAGGCTTCGTTCGTGGGTGATACCCCTGCAGGAGTATGACTGTGGGTGAGGAGTAGTTACAAATGGGATGTTGATTTTGCATAAGTCAACCTGTAAAGATATAGAGGTGTCGAAAGGAGAGGGAATATAAGAAGCATATATAGTTCCTGTTCCAGTGGCTCTAAGTTCCCATTTTACTGGTACTGGAGTATGAGGGTGGGGCTCGTGGGCCCTAGCTGGTATTACAAAGAAGAAGAAATAAACAGTTAAGAGGGAGATGAAGAGTCTCTGACCCGCCCCAGTCTTATCTTGGGTTCTCCAGGCCCGCTGAGGATCCGCCATCTGTCCTCGGTGTCTGGTGGAGCTGGCTTAACCTGGGTGTAGTGGATCTGGGTGGGAATTCCGGCGACCTTAAGTGCTATTGGTGTGATTAAGGTGACAACATAGGGTCCCTTCCAGGTTGGCTCGAGTGTCCTGGCAGGAAACCGTCAGACCAGGACAGCGTCTCCGGGCTGGAATGGGTGAGGCTGGATAGGTCCGTTGTCAGGGCAAGTCGCCTTGATGAGCGGCTGAAATTCGGTCTGGAGGGTCTGTGAAGCTTGAAGAGACTGAATTAGGTAATTGTTAGATATTTCAGATAACACATTCTCCTCAATTCGTGGAAGAAGAGGGGGAGGTCTTCCATACAGAATCTCATAGGGGGTGAAACCAGTCCGGTAGGGGGTACAGTGTACACGGAGTAAGGCTAAGGGGAGCAGGTCCGACCACTCAGCACCAGTTTCATGTACAAATTTAGTTAGTTTCTTTTAAGGTTCTATTTATCCTTTCTACTTGCCCTGAACTTTGTGGCCAATAGGCACAGTGGAGTTTCCAGGAAATATGAAGAGCCTTGGCCAGAATTTGAGAAACAGTAGCCATAAAGGCTGGACATTTGTTGGACCCCAGGTAACGGGGGAGGCCAGATCTGGGCACAAGCTCCTGGAGTAGATTCTTGGCTACTGTGGCCGCCGTTTCTGTCTTGGTGGGGTAAGCTTCCACCCATCCTGAAAAAGAGTCAATAAAAACCAGGAGATATTTATAATTGTACGTACTGGAGCGGACTCCAGTGAAATCAAGTTCCCAATGTTCGCCTGGTAGGCGCCAGCAAATCTCCTGCACGTTTGTCAAGGATGGGGACTGATGTTCTAATAGTTCCTTCCATATGTCAATATATGGAAATTGGTCGGGGTGTCCGGGCTGACTAAGAACAAGATCCCATACCGCTCGGGTGATGTTAAGAGTTAAAAGTTCCCGAGGATGGCCAATTGTCGTTGAAAGAAGGCCAATCAATTTCACAGAGAGTTTGGAGGCGGCCATGAAAAACGGACTCCGTAATAGGCCTCCTTTTCCTTACTGTAGACATCTTGGAAAGTCCCAGAATACATTGAAGGGGAGTAGTTGGTCGAGATTGAGAAGCCCCCATTGAGAAGACTGGGAACAGGCAACCCAGTGACAGAAACAGACAAAAAGAAGCCACAGATACAAGAAAACAGAGTCCCCTCCAAGTGCCAAACCAGGGCCAAAAGTCCCTGTGTTCTGGCCTCCTCTGAGTAGAACCAAACCAGGGGGAGATTCTCTGCCGTGGCAGGAATTCTGCGGACTCAAGGGTATAGGCCACGTCCGACACCTTAGAGTCCTTCCAGGTTGCAACTACAGACCAGACAGAAACCATAGCGGTTCCTTACCTTTGAAGGGTTTCAGAGTAAAATCTCCGAACAACCGTGACGGCCGGATCGCACTTTTACGTCTCTCTGCTACGCTGACTCACTTGCCAGGGCCCTGAAAATCTCGGGTGGCCACCCCTGGTGGGGAGCTGATCACAGCCAAGGGGCGATGCACAGGTCGTCAGGTATATCTCACTGGGGCCTCCAAATGTTGGGTCTAGATAATCAATAAAGAGGCTGGATGTCAAATTAGGGTTCCGAAGATTTTATTAAGCTGAGCTCAGCGACTGTCTCTCCGACTCAGGAAAAACGGCTCGAGGACTCGGTGGGTAGGGTTTTTATAAGGCAGGGCTACATGCAAAGCAAATTACAGAAGCTAAAAAAAATGTGCAGTTATTTCAGCTAAAACTACATCCTGCTGTCATAACAGTGCTGTTTATGTTCAGATGTCTTAACAGTATATCATGAGCGGGTTGAGTTGACCGCATAAACTGTTTCTCAGAAATATGTATATAATCCATTTTAGAAACTAAGGATGGGGTTTGAGAAACCAAAGTTAGCTGCTGCAAGGCCTCCTGAAATGTTAACATAGAGGCGGGGGGGGGGGGGGGAAGAAGGGGGAACTCAGGAATGTTTTTCTTTAGCCTTTCACTATGGGTGGGTACATTCTGTTATTGTGCAGGCATAAGTTAAAACGGGGAGGGAAACTACTGGGCTTTTAGAGGAACTACTGGGCTTGAGGCTCTTAGTTGGGTTTTTAGAGAGGGGGGGGTCTTTGCTTCATTACTGGTCCCTATTTTGACCCCTGGCTTTGGATCCTAGTCTTCGCTGGGGGTTGGGAGGACCCAAGGGTAATACTGCACACACAAATTGGGAGGAAGTGGGAAAACAGGCCAAGGCTGATAGAGCTGTGGAGCTCTAATGGGCATGGGAGAGTGGAGGGCAGGCGTCCAGCGGGGGAGGAGGGGCGTGTTGGGGACCAGCACCGCGTGGTACAGGGGCTGGCCCGCACTGAAAGGTACTGTTTGCCCTGAAGGCCAGCTCAGCCATACAGTAATGGGCGCACACCCCGCATCCTGCTTGGCGCGAAACCCAGCGGGAAATACATCACCCATATCTTGGTTGGCAGAAGTAGAAATTTTGTGAAACCCCCCAGCCATTGCCACCGGTTACTTACTCCGCCCTATAAAAACTGGACCCTTCCTTTAGTCGGGGCTGACGCCACTCGTGGGCTCAGCCCGGCAGATTAATACACTCGCTTGCTGGAATATCGGTGTCTCGCACCCTCTCTCCTCCGCGAACCTCTCACGCACTGCACTGGAACCAGGGAGAAGTCGAGACGCGCACCCTCCAAGGTTCCTAGAGAGGCCGCTGAGGCCCCTGGCGGCAAAGCGCGTGCGCGACAGGGTCGGGCGAAGAGGCAGGCGCGGGGCTAGCAGTTGCAGCCGCTGTACCGACTGTTGGGGCCGTGTGAGTCGGTGAGTAGCCGAAAGGGGGACGGGGGGCGTCGGGGGCCGGTGTGCTGGCGTAGGGTTGAGGGAGTGCTGCGGGGGCGGCCAGCTCTGCCCGGAGTGGGGGCGACGGCTGAGGCCTGGCCTGGAGGCTGCGCCGGGGGGTGGGCTGGTCTGGCCCGGGATCGCCTCCCCGCCGCGGTGAGAGCGGATCAGGGAGCGCTTCACCGCCTGGGGCGCCCGGGGGAGGGAATTTGGAGTAATGGTTTCCTTGCTTTCGTTTTTCCCCCAATTATGCAAACAAAGAGTACTCATTACAGACGATTAGGTGACGGGGGTGAGTGTAGGAAAAGTAAAAGTAACTGCAGTCCGCAAATGTTTTCGTCAGGAATCGTCCTGTCATTAAAAAATTTGTGCATATTTATGCAAAGTCAGTATTTATTATGAAGTAGGATCATATTGTTGCTTTTGAAAACTTATGGTATTGTGGTAAAACAATACTGTGATGAAGCATGCATAACATTTTCCGTACGATGCATAAAAATGTACCATTTTAACCATTTTAGCGTGTATAATTCTGTAGCATTAAGTACATTTATACCACTGCTGTTAGAAAGTTATAATATTTTTGCTTTGCAGAATGTATTTGTTCATACACTGGTTTTAATTTTGGTGCTAGCCTTACGACACCACTAAGACATTTTTGCAAGTATGATTATAAGAAAACATTTTGTTTGCAGTTGGTTTCTCATAGTACACAGTACATGAGGCTGTAAATGCTCAACAAGCGATGTTTGTAAAGAAAAATAGCAAAGTCTTGTTTATTAGGGTGCTTGTCTCGTTTCAAAATGAAAGAGTAGTATGTAAAACACAGTTTTTTAAACATAAGGTACATTGCTAATGTAACGCCACTGTACTGTCCTCTGACTTGCAGATGCCTAAGAAATCAAGAATAGTCTCCTTCCTAAGTTAAAAGTGGTGGCCAGGAAAGAACACCATTGTGTTTCAAACCAGTTCAAAATTGAAGACTCACTCCTACTAGTTGGTTCTTTTGCAAGGAGATGACAGGGAGTGGTTGGTTTTAGCTGAGTTTTGATTAAGGGTTTTAGGGAACTTCCATCTGTTATACACACCTCTATGCAGATTCAGGGACTGACCAGTGAAGCTGCTCTTGCTGTTATGTTAATACTGAAGAAAGACAGACAAATTTTGGTTAAAGCAGTAATCTGAAAGATGGGAATGTTTTGAAGATAAACCTCAGTGTGTACCTAAAAGGGGAACTGACAGAAGCATCAGAAGTACTGTGTTGCACTATTAAGTTTTCTGTGGCTCCTGGTCTCCAGGAGGTGTTAGTGTATAAGCTTTCTGTGATGTCAGAGAGTTGCTCGAGAGTAAAAATGAACCAAGTATAGTAAACATAACTTTATTCTGCAGTCGCCAGTATTTTTACATCAGAGACACTCGGAAAGAGCTCCCTCATGACACGCTTACAGGACTGAATTTCTGAGCTCACACTTTCCCTCCCTGATACTAGACTGCTACTCCTCCTCCCTTCTTTTATTATACCACATAGCACCTGTCACTGTCTAACATACTGTGCATTGTATTTCATTGTCTTCCCATAAGGTCCTCCAGGCAGTGCTTTTTCACTGCTGTATTCACTGCTGTGACTTTAGTGCTTGGAACACAGTAGTTGTCATCACATACCTGTTACATTAATGAAAGAATGAATCCCAATTGGAGGAGATAAGAATTGACTGTATTTAATGCCCTTGATTGCCGAGTTAATCCTAAATATTGAAGATAGAAATCAATCAGAAAAAAGACGATAACTGAAACATCTTCAATTTAAAACCTTTTTATTTTGAATAAGTGTAGACTTAGAGAGGGTTTCAGAACTTTACAGAGTTCCCTGATGTTATTTACTCAGTTTGCCTAAAATTACCGTATTTCCCCATATATAAGGTGCTCCCATGTATAAGATGCACCTTAATTTTGGGGCCCGAAATTTGAAAAAAAATGTATTACATAAAGTTATTGAACTCAAGTTTTATTCATTATAAAATTCATACAACTCCTCATCACTGTCAAAACTCCCAACCATAACCAGTCTCAGATTGTTTTCTCAGTTGGAGGAGGACCAAATTTACGTTCAGCAGCACGATTTTCATTCACTTTTGCAAAGTGGATCACTTTTAACTTGAATTGAGCACTGTACAAAGATCTTTTCTGAGCCATTTCTGGGCAGAACGTGGCAAAACGTAACCTAATATACCGGTAACAAGTGCGAAACAATGAGCGCAAAGACAGCAACCGCGAAAAAGTGGGAAATGCAAGTAAAAAAATCGACAACCACTGTATAAGATGCACCCAGTTTTCAGACCCTAAATTTTTCGAAACAGGGTGCATTTTATACATGGGGAAATACAGTAGTACCTTGCATAACTATAGTGCAGTCATCAAACTTAAGAATTTTACAGTGGTACAATATGAATAATGAAACTGCTGACTTTAATCAGAGTTCATCAGTTTCTGTCTAACGACCACATTTGTGTTCCAGGATCCAACCTAGAATCCCTCATTTCCTTTAGTTGTCATGTCTCCTTATCATTCTTCCATGTGTGGCAGTGCCTCACTCAGTCTTTTCCTGTTTTGCATGATGTTGATACTTCTGAAGTATCCCTAGTTGTGTTTTTAGAGTGCCCAGTATGGTTTTGTTATAAGTTTTCTCTTGCTTGATTGAGGATGATGTCGCTCTGTCTTGTTACTGGTGCTATTAATCTTGACCGGGGGGTACCTGCCAGGTTTCACCATTGTAAAGATACTTATTGTCTTTCCCTTGTAATGAGTAAGTCTTTGGGGGATGACACTTTGAGATTTTGCATAGAAATATCCTGTTTCTCCTTAACTTTCACCCACCAATTAGCATTCCTTGGTGGATCTTGCCTGCAGCAGTTATTACTATAATGGTCTACTGGTGACTTTCGTTTCTGTGGTTCGTTCTACATTTATTAACTGGAATTGTTTGTGAGGAAGAGTTGTGCCTTCTCCCTGTTTTGTTTTTACTCAGTTATATCTGTGTGTGATGTTGGATGTGTCATTTATTCTTTGGCCTATAGTGCGGTGCTATTTATTTTGTTGCTTAGATCATTCATTGTAGCTTTGGCCATTGGGAGCTCTTTGAGGCTGGCTCCTGTTTGCCCTTGAAGTGCTCCCATATTTTGTGTGTGTCTTTCTCTGACTGTCTGGCATCACAGAATACTCATCTTGTATCTTCTCTCCCCAGCTCTGGCAACCACTTCTCCAAAGACCCTGGGTTCCGTTTATTGGAGAATGGCAATTTGAAGCCAAGTTTTGGGCACTGAGATTGAATTTATTTCTTAATTGAGATATTTGTTTCAGTCTTATTTTAACATTTAAAGTATGAACTGGAAGCATCTTGGTTGTTTGCTTATTACCAGTGAATAAAATAAGCCGATGTGCCCTCATACTGGTAGGAGAAGGGGGGGAATCAGGGACGACTTAATGAGGACTTTAAAAGGAAAGCAAACAAACAGAATTACATTGCATATGAGTAGAAGAATAAAAGTAACAAAAAGAAGAAAATGTTCCTGAAAAATGTCCAGTCGATTGCTTGGGGTTTTCCCTGGTCTTTTCAGAGTCCTGTTTATTGTGGAGTGAGAATGGGTTAAGGTATGAAGGTCTGGGGGAAGAGGCCTGATCCAGCTGAGGTTGTTTCCAGGGCCCCAGGGGCTCACATCTGTGGTGGAATGTTAACAAGTGGATGAATGAAGCTTTTCTTCTGTCCTCCAAAGCGAGTTGGGACATGGGAGGACCCTGGGCATGAGGCTCCCCGGATTTAACTGGGCAGGTTCAGCTCACTGGCCCCCATCTCTTTCCTGTGCTCTGGGTCTTTCGTTCTGAGTTTGAAAGGCCCAGGAGGTTTTCAGCTTGACCCGTGTTCATGGCTGCAGAGGCCAGGCTCACCCTTTGTTTGGAGACCTAGAGTCCTTGGTTGTATTCCCAGGCGGTCACCCTCCTTTTCCTGTTTGTCAGTCTTCTCATCACCTCTTTCCAAATCCTGATCTCTTTGGGCGTTTCTGCACAGCTGCTTCAGCACTGAGCAGCCTGGGGGCTTATTCTTGGTGCAGATTTCACTGTGGGTCTCAAATCCCTGAGACAGGTCATTGTCATGTATATTTCCTGCTGGGTGCATTTGTTCCAAATGCTTGTGACCCCAAGTTCCTTGTCTTTGGCCTGAGGGCCAGGTTTCTCTTCACCCTTAGCAGCACTCTAGCTGTTTTCTTACTGCAGTTTTCTTCCTCTTCTCCAGTCTGCTCTGGGAGTTTGGCTGGGAAGTCACTCTCCCTCTTTCTGACTTGCAGCTCCCCCCATAGCAGTTTTTCTGCTTCCTGTTTGTGCTCCTGGAGCTCGGAGAGGCCTGAGTCTGCCCCTCTGCTCCTGGAGCCCCCTTTCCTCTCCTGCCTTTTGTTGTTGTGTCTTCAAGTCTTTTTTCATGGGCCTTCAGTTATTTACTTTATCACCTCTCTCATTTTCCTTTCCTCTCCTGTTCTGTGAATAGTTCCTCTCACCCCCTCCCACACTCTTTTCAGAGCAAAGCCTCATTTCTCTTTCTCTGCTAAACTTCCATCAGCCTCCTCAGTGTGCATGACTGGTCAGGTAGTTCTTTCCCTGACTTGTCGTCCCCTGGAGCCTGGCTGGACGTGCTTCTTGTAGCTGGATGGTGGCATGCTTTCTGGTGGGAGCCTTCTTCCTGTCTCAGTTTCAGCCATCTCACCTTTGTGGGTCCAGCAGCACTTGCTGAGTCCCTGAGTCATTGAATAGGTATTGTTTATAACACATGTAAGAGAGGATGGCTTTTGTTTTAATATCATGTCTGAAGGTAATGGTTTCTTTAAATTTGCTTAACAGTGTTAGGGGATGGAGGGTGCCGCGGTTTCAGGGGAGCTGACCATCATCTGTGACTTGTTGCACAGAGTAACGGGGCCACTTTGCTATAGGTGCCAGGGCCTGCTGTCCATCTCACACTTCTTTCTTTTTAGATTTGTTTTTAAAAAAATTATTATTATTAGTTTCAAGTGTACAAAACAATGCAATAGTTATCCTTTTCACCCCTCACAAAGTGACAACTCTCCTCCCCCATCCACTGCCACCCCACCCCCGATATCATACATATCAATTACAATTCCATTGACTCCATTCCCACACTCTACTCCACATTCCATGACTATGTATTAAATTATAGTTGACATATAATATTCAATGGCACCTTCAGATGTACAGTGCCATGGTCAGGCCTCTACACCGTCTATGAAGTGTAGATTTGTTTTAACACCCTCTTTTCTGTTGTTTTTTTAAATTCATTTTTTATTAAGGTAACATGGGTTTGTAACATGTTTCTGGTGTGCAGCATTATAAATTGATGACTGTATGTATACTACATCATGCTCGTCACCAAAAGTCTAGTTTTCATCTGTCACCATTCAGTTGACCTGCTCTACTTGGTTTGCTCCCCCTTCCTCTTAACCCCTCCCCGTCTGGTAACCACCAATCTGCTGTCTGCCTATATGTTTGTTCTTTTTTCTTTTGCATGTTGGGTTTGGGGGGTAGGGTTTCCTTTTTTTTATTCTTTACCTCACTTCCCAGTTTTTGTCTTACGTTTTTCTCTTTGTTCAACCAGGCTTCTCTGATTGGGTTGCTGACTAGGTGGGTAAAACATAACTCAGGTCACCTGTTGTTTTTGTTGTTTTGTTTTTCTTAGTTGCTTCAGCTACAGGCACCATTTGCATCCATGTTCCCTTCAAGGATGTGCTGCCCCTTTTGCTGGGTGCCCTCATCTTTAAGTCCTGGGAGCTGATACTCAGTTACTTTGTTTTTCAAGCAAAATTATTGATGGCTTTGCTGATTATAAAAGTAATGCATAACAATTCAGGAAGCATAAGTAAATAAGTAGGGAAAGTCCTCTTATCCCACCTGGCAGAGAATATAATGCTTGAAATACTTTGGTGGCAAGGTTTAGGATCTTTTTCGTGCATATGCATACTGTGCTTTATTTTTATTTTGTTTTATGATATAAATGAGTTCATAAGTATAATTTTTAAAACTTGCTTTTTAGTTTACTTTTTATTTGAGGAAATTGGAAATGATAAAAAAACAAAGAGGAAAATAATAGGCAGGTATATTTCCAACACTGAGGGTTAACCACTTCTAACATTGGTGTATTTGCATTCATCATTTTCTATGTGCACTTAAAAAAAGAGACCTAGTACATAAATGTCATGTTAAAAAGTCAAATGACTACAAATAAACTAAAATCTTTTTTTTTTTTTAAGATTTTTATTGGTGAATTGGGGGATGGGAACAGTGCTGGGGAATTGGGGGAAGGGGAACAGACAAGTTGCTGTCCTTTTGCTCTTCAGTCTAGTTGTGGAGGACGTCGCTTCACTGGCCCAAGTTGGCACCATCATTGCGCTCTTCCCGGGCGAGGCAGATCAGTCGCCGGCTTCTGGACGGCCACTCACTGCGGCTGCTGGCCACTCACGCTGGCTGCTGGCTACACACAGTAGCCCATGGCAATCCACTGCAGCAGGGGTTGCAGCCTGTGCCGTTGATGGCGACTCACTGGCAGCCCAGCTCCAAGTTGAGCTGTTGTTCAGCATCTTAGCTGTAGAGGGCAGTGTCACTGGCCCTCATGTGGGATCCGAACCGGGGCCCTCTGGCATCCCAAGCCAGCTCTTAACCAACGTGCCACTCGGCTGGCCCTAAACTAAAATCTTTAACCCTCTGTCGGGTGCAACTGATCTCACATATTCATTGCACACAAAGATGCCGCTATGCAATACGTCTTTACTGTACTAAGTCACAAACACGACTGGCGATAGGTTACGGTAGAGAGGGAAGATATGGAAGCGATGAGTCACGATACTTAAATTAACTGTTAGATATTTGAAAATTTGTGTGCAATGAATCTGTGAGATCAGTTGCGCTGATGGAAGGTTAACTACTATTCCCAACCCCTACCCTCACAATCCAGAAGAGTTTTTGTGAACCCTTCCAGGCCGTTTTAAATTCCTTTGAGAACCTGTATGTGCACTACACACGTACACATATACATGATGTTAAGGTTTTTTTCTACAGTGTTATCGAGGCTGTTGTTTTGAAGTTAGCGTATGTTTTTGTTGTGAGAAGCAGTCAAGCGCAGCCTCTCCTTTCTTGTGTAGCAGCATGAGAGCAGGCTAGAGCAGGAAACACTTCCTTGGAAGGAAATACAGAGCTGTCCCAGCCTGTGCTGGGCTTCTGCCTCGGAAGGGACCGTCTCCCAGTTCAGTGCTTAGTGTAGACCCCTTTATTGTGCTGGACTGCCTGTGTCGGTGGCCCTCAGGCCCACTCCTGCTTTCTGTAATTCAGCCCCTGACCGAGGAGGTAGGAGGGGAGAACTGAACAGGAGGTGGAGCAACGAGGAGGCCCCCACAGGTAACCTGGGGGCGGCATCAGCATCCTGTTCCAGACCCACTGAAGTGAGGAGCAGAACAAAGACCTGAGCTAGTGCAAACACACTAGGATGAGGAGACGTGCAGAGGGAGGAGAGAAGCAGGAACGGGGTGGGAGGGGGGTGTGGAGGAGAACCCAATCGATGGACTATAAGGCCAGGGTCCTCAGACATGGGGCTGCACCCACCCTCGGGTCAGCCCGCTCCGTGCTCAATGTGTACTCGCTTTGCAGATAAACGTTGCCGTCTGCTGCTTGCTTGACTCCTGTCTCTTGGCTGAATTCTTTCTTTCAAGATGACAAGAAGCGAGGAAAATCATCATTTCCGGTGACACCCCCACCGGCAAGGGGTTGAGCTTCTCCACTGCAGCATGAAGTGTGGTGCTTGTATCTACCCCACCTGCACCCCCTGGCTGTGAAGTGGGGGACCAGTGGATTGCAAGGGGCTGAATCTTGTGTGTTCTTTCTCTTCTTTCATGCTGTAAGTAAATGCTGGACCACTTGAGCCTGCTGTGTGTGTTTTCTGTTCTCAACAACTTAGTATCATGCTCTGGTCTCTTCTGTGGTTGGCACTTAACTGCTTTTTAACCTTGGCTGCACAGTCTGGCCACCCAGGGAACAGGGCAACAGTATGTTGATGCTTAAGGGTCTAGTATGATCTTTCTAACTGTTGTGTCGGATTTCATCCTATAAAGAGCTACTTTTTTTTTTTTTTTAAGCTAAGCCATCCTGCCACCTGTTGGCAGCTCAGCGGCAGCTCAGCTCGGGCCGGGCATGGAACCGCTGTTGCTCAGAGCTCACACTCTTAAGCGAGCTCTTAACCAACTGAACCACTCGGCCGGCCCCACGAGCTACATTTTATTAGGTATACTGATGGACACGTAGGTTATTTTCAATGTTGTATTATTACAAAGAGTGCTCTAATGAACACCTGTGTAAATGTCTGTATAGCTGTGCAAGTGTTTTTCCAGGGAGATTTCTACAGGTGAAATTCCTGGGGTCTAAGTAATGTGACCTTTTAATTTTACTACAGACCTTCAAACTACCCTTCCTGGTGGCTGTATAAATTTACACCTCTATGAATATCAGTGGTTTGTGCTTTTTTTTTTGTTTTTGCACAAGAGGTTTTTAAATACTGATGTAGTCATATATCACTCTTTTCCTTTTGTTTTCTGAAAAAATTCTTGCTTATGCAAGGGTTGGTTCTCTCTTTTTTTTTGAAGTTAAGTCTTTAACTATAATTCATTTTGCATGTGATCTTTTATTTTTATTGGCCTAGCCAATTGCCTCTACACGAGTCATTGAATTATCTGTTCTTTCCACTGTCTTGTAATGCTGCCTCTGTCACATGCCAGATCTATACATGTATATGTCTTTGTCAGGATTCTGTACTATTCTTTTTATCTCTTTGTGTATTTCTGCAATACTACACACTGTTTTAATCACTGTACTTTTATAATAAGCCATATTATCTGGTAAAACAAATCTTTCCACCTTTAAAAAATTGTCTTGGCTATTGTCATCCTTTTACTCTTTTGTGTGAATTGTAGAATATGCTTACCAAGTCTGAAGAAAAGTTATTTTGGGGTTTTATTTTGGATTTTATAGACTTTTCATGTTTATTTAGAAACAATTGACATCTTGAGAATATTAGTCTTTCTATACTTAAGAGTTATTCAGATCTATTTTGTCTTGTGGCAGTTTACTGTTAAGGTGTTGTATATTTTTTATTAGCTTATTTTTGGATATTTTATGTTTTTTGTTGCTGCTGTTGTGTTGATTCTCTTCCTAGTTGGTCATTGCTAGTATATTGGAAAGTTATTGATTATACATTGATTGTATATTCAGCCTACTTAATGATCTTCCATATTAGTCCTAACATTTTTTTTTAATTAAAGTTTATTGGGGTGACAGTTGTTAGCAATTTCTAACAGTTTTTCTCTTAGATTTTTTAGATGGATGTTCAGATCATTCATGAGTAATAGTAGCTTTGCCCCTTTCTTTTCTAACAGTTTTCTGTATATTTTTTTTTTCTTGTTTAATTGCATTGGCTAGGATGACATTGTCTCACTGTTCCTAGTTTTAATTGAAGGCTATTAATGTCGTCTCTATTTAGTGTTACATTTGCTGTAAATTTCTCTTGGTTTTTCCCCATCTCAGGTGGAAAAGTTTCCCTTTATTCCTGGATTGATAAGAATGTATACCAAAAAGGAGATAAAGCTATAGCTCTACAGGAACTTTTTTTTTTTTTAAATTGGGGAATTGGGGGAAGGGGAACAGACAAGTTGCTGTCCTTTTGTTCTTCAGTCTAGTTGCTTCACTGGCCCAAGTTGGCACCAAAATTGCGCTCTTCCCAGTCGAAGCATATCAGTCACCGGCTGCAGCTCACGCTGGCTGCTGGCTACACACGGTGGTAGCCCATGGCAACCCACCTGCCGTCGCCAGGGACTCACAGCAGCCCAGCTCCAGGTCGAGCTGTTGTTCAGCATCTTAGCTGCAGAGGGCAGTGTCACTGGCCCGCAAATGTGGGATCCGAACCGGGGCCCTCTGGCGTCCCAACCCAGCTCTTAACCAACGCGCCACTTGGCCGGCCCCAGGACCTTTCTTTTTAACTTTAAGAGAATACCAGTATGTGAAGAGCTGTATGCTAATAAATTTGAAATCCTTGATGAACACGGGTTGTTTCTTCCTTTTGACCATTATGAATAGTGGTACTGTGAACATTTGTGTACACGTTTCATTTCTCTTGGATAAAGAATTGCAAGTAGTGGGCCGGCCGAGTGGCTCAGTTGGTTAAGCGTTAGCTGAAGAGTGCGAGCTTTGAGCAACACGGCTGCTGATTCGATTCCCACATGGTCCAGTGACGCTGCTCCTGAGCTGAGCTGCTGCTGAGCTGCCAGCAGGTGGCAGGATGGCTCAGCTGGTGAGAACATGTGCTCCTAACAACAAGACTGCCTGTTCGATGACGGGCTATGCCCACCGGCAACTAAGACTGAACTTGGCAACTTGAGCTGAGCCGCTGCCCAGATAGCTCAGTGGATAGAGCATGTGCTCTTAACAAGGCAAGGCTGCCAATTCAGCTCCTGCATGGGATGGTGCCTACGCCCATCCACAACTAAGACTGAACTTGGCACCTTGAGCTTAGAGGCCACGAGCTGCTGACGGACAGCCAGATGGCGACAGGAGCCTTCCACAACTAAGGTTGAAGAACAACAACTTGGCTGGTCCCCCTCCCCAATTCCCCAACACTGTTCCCCTCCTCCAATTCCCCAATTAAAAAAAAAATTACAAGTAGTAACTGTATGTTTAACTTCCTGAAGATTGGCAGACTGTTTTACAATGTGGCTGCACCAATTTACATTCCCATCAGCATATAAGGGTTCCAGTATTCCTTCAGTCTTACTAACACATTACTTTTCTGACTTTTTGATTCTAGCCATCCTAGTATGAAGTGGTATCTCACTGTGGTCTTGATCTATCTGCTTTTCCCTGATGACTAATTTTTACAGTTGAGTATCCTGTGCGTGTGTCAGCCATTGTTATATATTTTCTGAAGAAATGTCTATTCAGATGCTTTGTTCAATTTTGATCGTGTTATTTGTCTTTTTATTATTGAATTGTTGACGAGAACCGCTCGTCCAGTGGCCAACTGGCGTGGGCAAGCCAGATACCTAGACGGTCCCAGAGGGGACTGGGTGGGAGATTAGAAAATAAAGAAACCTAGTAGAAAAGAAAGACACAGAGATAAAAAGCTGGGATCAGGAAGGACACTCTGCAGCGGGTGGCGGAGAGTGACACTGTTTATTGATTATACTCGGGTTATATAGAGGAAGCAATTTCCTCATTGTGGGGATCAGTTCCCTTAAAGCATAGGGGATTTTGGTAGGGCATTTTGGGGAATGGGGAACCAATGTCCCTTATGCAAAATTTCGGAGGTCTGGAGAAACAATTTCTTCTAGCAACAAGTTACATCAAGCACAGCGTAGACCAATGATATTTTCTAGGCAAGGTTAAACTGAGGCAAATAGAAACTGTCACCAAGTCCATGGTGGAAAGTCCCAAAGCATCAGAGTCCATATTAGGAGGGTGCTTTTCTGAGGGTCCGATGGTTTCAGTTCCAGGGGACTTGTGCTTTTCCATGGCACAGGAGATGAGCTGGCTGTTGCTGGGTCAGATGTCTCTCCAGCAGTTCCCTTTTTGTTACTCACCCAACATGGAGTTCTGCAGCTTCCTCAGCTTGCAGCCTCACTGCTCTCAAATGGCTCCCAACAAATTGTAAAGTTCATATATTGTAGATAAAAGTCCCTTATGAGATATGTAATTTGCAAATATTTTTTCCCACTCTGTGGGTTATCTTTTCAGTTTCTTTATGTGTCCTTTGAAGCACAAGAGTTTTACATTTGATGAAGTCCCATTTATCTGTTTCTTTTTTTACATGTGCTTTTGATGTGCATTTCGTAGAATGCATTGCCTAATCCAGTGTCATGAAGTATTACATCTATGTTTTCTGATAAGAATTTTATAGCTTTAGCTTCTACATTTAGGTCTTTGATCCATTTTGTCTTAATTTGTGTGCAGTGCTCTATGTAGGGGTCCAACTTCATTCTTTTTTATGTAAACATGAAATTGTCCCAGCACCATTTGTTGAAAAGACTCTTCTTCCTGATTTGAGTGCTCTTGGCAACCTTTGGTACCCTTGTAAAAAATAAATTGACCCATTTCTTAATAAATCTGGGAAAAGACAAATTGATCATAGATATTTGAACTTATTTTTGGACTCTTAATTCTGTTTCACTGACCTATGTGCCTATTCTTAGGCCAGCACCACATTGTCTTGATGACTGCTGCTTTATAAAGTTAGTTTTAAAATTAGTAGTGTGAGTCTTTTCAGTTATTATTTTTCAAGATCGTGTTGGCTGTGGTGGGTCTCTCTAGTTTTCATATGTTAGAATCAGCTTTTCAGTTTCTACAAAGAAGCCAGCTGGGACTCGGATAGGGATTGCATTGACTCTATATAAATGTGGGGAGTATTGTCATCTTACTATTTTGTCTTTTGATCCATGAACACAGAATGTGTTTCCATTTATTTAAATCTTTAATTTTTTCTAACAATGTTTTGTAGTTTGGGGGTGTAAGTTTTGTTCTTTTTTTGTTAAATTCATTCCTATGTATTTTATTCTTCTTCATGTGATTGTAAGTGGAATTGTTTTCTTAATTTTATTTTTGGTTTGTTTATTTTTACTATATAGAAATACCATTGATTTTTGCATATTGATCTTAAATCCTTTAATCTTACTAAGCCCTTATTAGTTCTGATAGCTTTTAGTGAAATTCTTAGGATTTTTCGTGTCATGTCATTTGTGAATAGAGCTTGGTTCACTTCCTCCTTTCCAGCATGGGTGCCTTTTGTTTTTCTTGCCTAATTACCTTGGTTAGAACTTCCTGTGTAGCGTTAAATAGAAAACTTGAGAGTGGAGTTCCTTAATGTCTTGTTCCTACCCTTTGGGTGAAAGCATTTGGTCTTTAACTATGAAGTATGATATTAGCTCTAGATTTTTATAGATGCTTTTTATGAGATTGAGAAGTTCCTATTCCTAGTGAGTACTTATATCATGAAAAGTTTGGATTTTGTCAAATGCTTTTTCTGCACCTATTGACATCATCATATGATACTTAATGTTTTTTATTCTATTGATATGTTAAACTGATCTTGCATTCCTAGGATAAATCTCACTCAGTCATGGGGTATAATTCTTCTAAGATGTGGCTGGATTCAGTTTGCTAGTATTTTTTTGAGAATATTTGTCTTTATATTTATAAGAGATACTAGGTAATGCTGGCCTCGTAGAATGAATTGGGAGGTATTCCTTCTGTCCTATTGTTCTGAAGAGTTTGTGAAGAATTGGAATTACTTTTTCTTTAAATGCTTGGTAGAATTCAGCAGTGAAGCCATTGGGTAGTTTTTGACTACCAGTTCAATCTCTTTACTTGTTATAGGTCTATTCAAATTTTGTGTTTCTTGAGTCAATTTCATTAGTTTGTGTTTTATAGTAGCTTGTCATGTTCATCTAAATATTTACTTTATTGGCAAAAGTATATTTTAAATAATTCTTTTTTATTTTGGTAAAGCCAGTAATATGTTCCCTGTTTCATTTCTGATTTATGTCATTTGAGTCTTCTCTCTTTTTTGTTTGTAAGTCTAGCTGAAGGTTCATTATTTTGTTGATCTTTTCAATAAACCAACTTTTGATTTCATTGATTTTTTTTTAAAGATTTTTATTGGGGAATTGGGATAGGAACAGTGCTGTAGAATTGGGGAAGGGGAACAGACAAGTTGCTGTCCCTTTGCTCTTCAGTCTAGTTGTGGAGGACGTCGCTTCACTGGCCCAAGTTGGCACCATCATTGCGCTCTTCCCGGGTGAGGCAGATCAGTCGCCGGCTTCTGGACGGCCGCTCACTGTAGCTGCTGGCCGCTCACGCTGGCTGCTGGCTACATACGGTAGCCCATGGCAACCCACTGCCACAGGGGCTGCAGCCTACGCTGTTGCCAGCGACTCACAGCAGCCCAGCTCCAGGTTGAGCTGTTGTTCAGCATCTTAACTGTGGAGGGCAGTGTCACTGGCCCTCATATGTGGGATCCGAACCGGGGCCCTCTGACGTCCCGAGCCAGTTCTTAAACATCGCGCCACTCGGCTGGCCCTGATTTTTTTTCCCCGTGTTGTTTTTCAAATCTCTGTTTCATTGATTCCCACTCTATTCTTTATTATTTCTTTCCTTTTGCTTGCTTTAGGTTTAGTTTTCCAGTGTTTTAAAGTGGAAGGTTAGGTAATTGATTTGAGATCTTTATATATTGGGTTGTCGGAAAAGTTATGACTTATTTTTTCTATGTTTTTCTTTTCAAAAATGCATCATAACTTTTCTGACAACCCAATATATATGTATATAAAGTCCTGTATATATTTTGCTGTATGTGGCCATCTAGCCCTGGTCTGCTTGATACTGGCAGCCACTACTATGGAAATGCTCACACGCCTTCTTCTCATATATCTAAAGATGATCTGAAATAACAGGATCAAGCAACATTGGTTCTCACGTCCCTTCTGAACAGTGATATTGGTTATTTCAGTCTCTTGCCAGTGACGTCTGATGTCCCAGCTAATGGCATTGTCCACTGCGGTGCTGAAAAGATACTCCCGAGGTCCCAGCAGCGACACGGCTAACGTAGGCTTGGTTTGCACTCTGCTGCGTAGACTCTGAACAGGAGTGATGCCTCCAGGCAGGTGGTATGCTGTCCATCCAGCTCAGGCCCAGGCTTCAAGGGAGCGAGGGCGTCTTCAGATGGTAAAGCAGGAAGAAGAGGGAGAAGACTACACTTCAGTGCAGACTGCCAGGCCACAGACACTCAACCGTCCTGGCCAGGAGCTGTTCCGCCAGCTCTTCAGACAGCTTCGCTACTATGAGTCTTCTGGGCCCCTAGAGACTCTGAGCCGACTCCGGGAGCTCTGCCGCTGGTGGCTGAGGCCTGACGCTCTCTCCAAGGCCCAGATGCTGGAGCTGCTGGTGCTGGAGCAGTTCCTGAGCATCCTGCCTGCGGAGCTTCGGACCTGGGTGCAGCTGCATCACCCTGAGAGTGGTGGGGAGGCTGCGACCCTGCTAGAAGAGCTGCAGAGAGACGTCAGTGGGACACCATGGAGGGTGAGTGTGAGCCAGTGTGCAGTGCCCAGTGAGCCAGCTTATCTGGGGGTGGGGTTGGCCTCTAAACCTTCAGCGTTGAGGAATGCAGGGGAAGTCTTCCCTTCTCATTCCCATGGCACCTGAGCAGCTGAGAACTGGACCCTAAGCCAAGCCCTTCTCGCTTTCCCAGAGGACTGTCAGCTCCAGGAAGAGGGTCAGTAAGTATCCAAAAATAATAGTAACATGTTTTTGGACACAGTGACTTAGAGTATGCAGAGTCCATCTCCACATATTATCTCACTGGATCTGATGCTGACCTGTATAGTGGGGTGCTGTCTCTTGCTTGTAAGGGGAGGGTTAGAATCCAGACTCTGGGCATCTGAGCACCTGTTAAGACCTAGAAGCGCAGTCTGCGTGTACCATTTTGCTTTTTTCTCAATAAGCTTTTGAGGTTTTGTTTTGTGCGGGGATGAGACTTCATAGCCTTCGTGTGCTTTCCCAAATTGATTGTTGTCCCTTTCAGAGCCTCAGTTTATTGAAAAGAAAATGCCAAATTGGCCTAACAATGAGAATTTGTTTGGTATGTATTTGAGTACCTTCCTTGTGCCCGGCCCTGACCTTGGTGCTGGGAAAGAGAGCTGCCACCCCCAGTGCCAGCAGTCGAGCAGCGGGTCAGTTCAAATATACTCTCCCTGTCCCTTCTGCCCCACAGTCGGGCTTCTCAGTGCTTCCTGTGTCTTTGGAGCTTTTTTAAAAAGAGCGTTTATCATTTTTGTAGGCTTTTTAAAAATTGTTATTTCTACAAAAATAGGTGTAATTCTATATATATGATTCGCACATAAATAAGTTACTTTTAAGATTTCTGAAACATATTTGACATACTTCTCCCTGAAATTTAATATAAAACTGAATCAGTCAAATAACACATCTAAACATGGTTTACCAGCAGTAGATGGCAATACATCAACACAAGGTATGACTATTAAAAAAGAAAACTTCTTTGCTCAACATTGGGTACTAGTTTTAAAACTCTAAAACAGTATTTATCACTATAACAAAAAGATCTAGAAATGATTTATTAAAGCAAATAAGGTACACAGCAGGTACAAAATTGTGGCTTGGTTATATTCAACTCATTTAGGGCTAGATGTAAGGTTTAAAACTCCATAAAAAAGGGCCGGCCGAGTGGCTCAGTTGGTTAAGTGCTCACTCAAGAGTGCGAGCTCTGAGCAACAGGG